CCCTAAATATTTCCCGCTGTGAAGATTTCCGAGAGGAACTAAAAAGAAAGTAATTTAGAATTACACCCCAAGTACTCCCTTCGTTCCTTTTTATAAAATATCTTTCAGAAGGTTTTGATGTTTTTATTCATAAAACGTTTTACAAAATCTAGGCAGTAATTAACGTCCCAACAGTTTTGATTCTCAAACCAATTGTCGGTATGGATTATTCTAGTGCGCAGAAAATGTGATACAGCGAACGCATGCAAGAAACTCTCTCTATAACTGATGGAATGATATTCATTAAGCAGTAACCAACCAGTTGTGACCAATATGGTTTCAACCTGAATAGAAACTCAGAACCCAAAAGCATCAAAGACAGACCACAATGATGGTTGGTCATGATATGTATGCCTCCATGTTGTCAGGAAATCATAAAATTAGCTTTTAAGAAATTATTTGAACTAAAATGTGAATCCCATGCTTTGCTGAGATAATGATTGATCATGAATCCATATAGATTTCATTATATATACACACACACACATATATAAGTATAGATGTGTGTGTGTGTGTGTGTGTGGATTTCCCGAAAGTACAACTTCTTAAAAGCAATTTTCAGTTAGCAATTTCTACTAAGGCTATTATTAGAATTTCAAAAGCACGCTTAAATTTTCCATATGTTAGAATTTCGAGTTGTATATTGAAATTATGGCCCAAAAAATAAGGTTTGTTAGGTAAATTTTAAAGGGTTGCCGGGTCCATAGTTCATACAAACCCCCCGCGAGGATCACAATTCCAAGTTTCGCCTATCAAAACAGCTTTATCCTTGACTCACTCTCAGTAATCATATTCCAACAACCAGGGCACTAACACTTCTACCAAATAACGAAATTAGGACGAAAGAGGGAAACTTTTAACAAAATCCTCCAAAATGTAAACCCAAGAAAATAATTAAGCCCAAATATATTAAGTTACAAGAAGAATCACTGAAAATCGTGAGTGTAAAAATGTAGAAGTAGTATAAAATCCAAGTAAATCTGCGCAAAACAGGAAAGTACACGGAGGGAAGAGTGAAGAGGGTTACCACTTGGAGCTTATCCGAAACGAGGGATTCAATATCTTCAAGTATACCTAGGGTTTCCGTTTGCGCCATTATCGCATAACCTATCAAGAAGACGATTGTAGCACGAACAAACGAAGCGAACAATTCTTCTGAATTCTGATGCTGCTCTAATGTTCCATTTTCCCTCCGGAAAGGGCTCTCATTTTCCCGCCAGCTCTACACTTTCGGGTCGCCCTCTAACTCACCTTGAGGTCCATTACTTGAAATCTTGAACTCGCGGGTCCTATCCCCATTGGGCTGGAGTGACCTAGTCCATCTCCAGTCTTTTTTTAGTTAATTTCAAAAATATTTTATTTTTTATAATTTATGAATATTTTGATTCGATATAAATTAGATTCTGTTACATTTTTTTTTCCAAAAAATTAGATTCTGTTATATATTGATATATTCTTATTAAAATAATCCCCGGTCTAGAAATTTTAAAAATTAAAAACAATTAATATAAATATAAACTATAATAAGCGAATTTTTACCTTTTTGACCGAAATTTTTTTAATTTTTTTAATTTTTATGCAATTAGTATTTTAAATTATTATTAATATCAATAATGAAAAGATTAAAACAATAAATTATCTTGGTAAAAATATATTTATCTGAAAAAGCTCCCTACCCCCTACTGTGGCTTCGCCATTATTGTCCGTGCACATACGCCAAAAATATTTTAGTAATAATTAAAAAAGGGTTAAGGTGCACCCAGCACCTCGAACTATTTATCTAGGTGCGTCCAGTGGCCTAAAGTAATTTTAGATGCATCCAGTGTCTTAAACTAATTAAAATGATGCGTCCATATCCTAGGCTAACATAAATGTTATGTTTAACCATTATTTTCCTGACTCAATTTAAAGTTGACCCCAGATATTCCACATGATAGACACATGGGCACCCGATGTATATTATTCTTACTCAAAAGTCAATTTATTTATAAGAAGAGGAAGGAAATAAATTCAATTTTGAGTAAGAATAATACACATCAAATGTCCATATGTCTACCATTTAGAATATCTGGGGTCAGGAAATTAACGATTCAACATAACATTTCTGTTAGCCTGGGATATGGACGCACCATTTTAATTAGTTTAGGACACTGGATGCACCCAAAATTACTTTAGGCCACTGGACGCACCTGGGTAAATAGTTCGGGATGCTGGGTGCACCTTAACCCATTAAAAAAATTAAGAACAAATCAAACATATGCATGACTATTAATACAGAAACTAATGGCTTAATCAAAATAAGTGCGGACCAAAAGAAGGATGTGCCGCAATTAAAATAGTTGAATCAAAATATTGACACATGAAAACTGCAATATTTACGACATTGTGAACAAACGTGACTTCCAACATAGAACACAAGTCTAATACTTCATCAATTATTATTGGGTTAATATAATTTTTGATTTCGCAAATTTATCCTCATTTTGATTTTAGTCTCTCAAATTTTAAATTATAGGTTTTGGTCCCTATAGGACCAAAATGACCTATGTTTTTTTATTGAATTATAGGGGGCCAATATTTTAAATAAAAAGAAATGTGATGATCAAAATTAAATTGAGAACAAACTTGAGGAGCAAAAAGTTGTATTAATCCATTATTATTTATAACTCACATTTAACTAATTTATTCAAAAAAAAAAAAAAAGAATACCCCATCCTTTGACAAGTAACTTTAATTTAATGAAACTGATCTTAACCACACTCAGTACATATCCCCCCCTCATCATAATTACTCAATAATATTCATTCAAATGGCATTACTAAAAAAAAATATTTATTGTTTCATACATTTTATAAAATGCCATTTAAGGACTAATTTGTTTAAGAAAGTTGTTGGGAGTCTTCCGGAACCTTAAGCTAAATACGAGGGACATGTTTAAAAAAATCTGTTTTCAATAGCTTATCAAAATAAATTGGTCAAAGCAAATTTTTTTAAACAAAATCTTTATGATATAAAAAGCTAATGCTTAACTAGCCAAAATATTTTTTTTTATGATTTTAAACAAACCAGCTCTAAATAAAAGAATGAAAAGTTTGAAATAGTAATAATATAAATAAAATCTGGTCCATGAAAATGACTGATCTATCCCCTATAACTCCAAAAGAAGAGATATAGATTTACATAAAGGATGATTTGCAGTGTACCATGCATTAATCTGAATATGGGAAGGGAATCTAATTGAAGAGAGGAAGAAGACGAAAGGAATGTTGGAAGAGAGACAGAAATAAAGCATATTTTGTAAGGATAATTTGCAGTGTACCGCTCTGAATATTCTTTCTGAAGCATATCTCCCTCGTTCATCTGTCACTGTTTTGTCTTCCAAATTTTATCAACACATTATTTTTTGAAATTATCATTTCCCCCAAAGGTTAATTTTCGTTCTACCTACATCACAGTAAGTTGTAGTAAACGATTGTCTCCTCTGTTCTATTGTGCAAAAATTTGTAGCCTTTTGTTTTAGGAGATTTGCCCAGAAAATATATATATATATCTTCATTAGTCTTAAATTTGTTTTAAGAAAAAAATCACAGTTTTTTAGATATCCTTCATTAAGAATTTTATGAAAATTGAGCATATATAACGAGGGAGGCTTCTTACTTTTTCAAAATATCACAAAAATCCTCCTAATAAGTCTGTAAAATCTGATCAATTTAAGACTTCAAAATGACCTAATGGTTGTGAAATACGAGTACCTCTGGATTAGTTTGAAATGAAATTTGCAGCAAATTTACTTAAATGCCCTTGATTTAAAATATAAAGAACAAACAAACAAAATGACAATAACAGTTTAACGTGTGACAAACTTTAACTTATCAAATGACAGTATCAGGTAAGAGAGTGACAACTAATTTTATCAACAATAATTAGATCATTTCATTAACAAACTTAATTCCAAGATAGTATCTAACATTTTTATGGGAATTAAGTTAGGTCCCCTTGGCATTCCAATGTTTCAATGATCCTTTTATATATGCGTCTGTGTCTTTCTCCCCTTTTGAACGTGGAAACCTTAATTAAATTTTCTTACCGTTAAGTAAAAGTGAAAGAGCATATATATGTAGGAAGAAGCATAGCTAGGTGCATGGATTTGATATGTATATCTGTATGTTTTTCAGAGAGCTTTTGCCAATTTGAATGGACTCACAGCACACCCACACGTTACTTGTTTGGTTTGAAAAGGAATCGGATTCTGCTATATATAACAAAGCTGGTTTGGAAAGGGAATCAAAACTGCGTCTCTCGCCTTTTGTGGCAACTTTTAGACCTGACCTCTCAGTCAAAAGCTTCAATATGCCATTCAAAATATACAGCTCATCGCCATCAAAACCACCATATGTTGATTAATTAGAATAGATTAAGAAAATTAGTTAAATCAATTAGTTGTAATAAATATGTGCTTTTTATTCTAAAATATCTTACTAATCATGTGTATTAACCAGAATTTTTAACATGTACAGCTAATAGAAAGACTATATTGAAAAAATAAATAAATATTAGAGATAAAATAAATTTAAGTATTATATATAGAACCAAATTAAATGTCAAACTAATTCTTATATAAATTAAAGATGGGACGCAGTAACTCATTATATCTTCCACAATTTTTGTCGGAAATTTTGCAAACCCATATATGCCACACGACGACACAAGAGTTCCTAAACAAAATACATATAACTAATATTAATGTATGGCCAAAGCAGGAATGAAAATCAAAGTAGGGTAGGGGGTGTGTGTGGAAATGAAGTACAAGAAGGGTTTGGTGGCTACGCGGTAACTTGTAAAATATTTCACATACCGGTCCTACTAGTGTGTGTACATATATATATATATATATATATATATCTGTGGGGATTCCAATATTAAATAGGTAGCTCATGATTTGTTTAATTTGGACCACATATATGTTGGAATTAAAAGTTGTGTAGTGCCCACATGCATCCATACACACATAAGCCAACCCAAAAGTAAATTAAGATAAGATCATCACTTGCATATATATATATATATATATATATATATCTGAGAGACACAGAACATAACTTTATCTTAAAAGGAGAGTATATAATTATATTTCCTCTATATATGCACCTTAGCTTCCTCCTTTACCATCCTTCATCTTCATAAGCACATAAAAGCCTGCACAAAACATCTCATCATCAGAAAGTATGCGTGTGTATTAAAGTTTACTGTATTACTTTACTGCTGGTTATTTCTTAAAATTGCCACCTATATATGTATTCTATACTGGTTTTGAAAATATGACAGAATCTATAGATCTTAGTTAATTTACACCCTTCACATGGCGGTGGAATATTATCTCACAAAACAATATAAAGCAAATCGAGTATATATTACAAAATTGCTTATTGGAATACTGCAATATGTAAATCATCTATGTATGTAGTCTTATCATTCATAGAAAGGCTTGCGTTATGAATTGATCTGAGTTGTTGAAATGTTTTAGATTTGTAAGAAGCATTATGAGTAACAAATTTGAGTATCAAGTGCGAATCCCTCTGAGTAAAATCCAAGTGCACGTACTTGCATTGATTTTGTTAAAATCTGAGATACCAGTCGGTAAGTCAAAAACTGAAATTTGATAACTAACTTCACAACAAGTATAACGAAGAAGGAGGAGATGAAGGAGAAGATGAAAATAAACTATGAATAGAAGGAGCGAAGAAGGAATAAAGAAGAATGAGACACGTACAGTAATAAAATCAAAGCAAACTAAGCGCCTCTTCTTCCAGGCACTCTTGGCTTTCTTGAGTTTTCTGAAGAGTTGATCGTCGGAGTAGATGATGTTGCCGGCCGGCGAGGCCAAGTACGCACTTCGTCTGACCGGAGGAGACCACAGCCCACTCTGCTCGTAATCGAAATCGAATTGAGACGCATCGAAGAACTTCCCCAGAAGCCTCTCCGACACCGACTTTGACACCATCAGAGTTCTGCGGCTTGCTGTTGCTGTGCTGATGAACGTCGACGACGTCGTGTTGGTTTCTTCGGACGGCGACGACGATAATGAGGGAGAAGAATAAGATGAAGAGGCTTCTGACAGAGACATTGATGAGCGAAGGGAACAAAGGACCCCAGAGAGGCAACAATAATGATAACTGATATGATGTTTCGATCTGATATATCATAAAACAGGTCAGGAATCTGATGCTGTGCAAGATGTTTGGTACCAAAAAGGGTAATAAACATATAAAAAAAATGGAAAATGACGTAAAAAGTACTAAAACTCAAATTAGATTTGTTTTTCACTTTGGCCGTATTTTACTTTAAAATAACAATACATTTATACAAGAATTCTTCATTTAAGATTACACAATTTTCAAAATTTTTTTGTCATTCTCCCAAAAAAAATAAAAAATTGGCAAAAAAAAAGTTCCCATTTTTTTGTATATGTAAAAAAAAAAATCCTTGTTTAACGTGCACTTCTCCTATTAAGAATTTTTGAATCTTACTTCCATGTGCTGTGTTATAAAAAATTAGTCTTTTTTTATAAACCAAATCTCATTATAACACGTATTAATTTCAATCCTAATTATAAGAACTCGTTTATATGTTACAAATAAAATCTATAATCAAATAGGTAGGTGATATATATGCCGACTTCCAACTTGTTGAAACTTATTGTGACACCATGCTCCAGTGTTTTGTGATTTATTTCTTTTTTTCAACAAAATGTGATTTATTGCGCGCATGCCTAAAGCCTAAGGGCATTATTATCATTATCTTCACCAACAAAAAAAAAAAAGAGGCAATCGATCATTATGTACTTTTTTATGACTTTATACGAGTTCACATGTGTGAGGCCTAAGTTAGCTTGCAATTGATTAATGCAAGATTACCTATAATCCATTATAAACATATATTTAGAGCAATTATTGTTAAAACATATGCATCTTTATCTTATTTTTAAATCTCTATTTTAATTATATTATATTATATTATTTTTAGTAAGATATCTAAACAACGAAAGTATCCCACAAAAGTTTGGTTCTGACACGTAATAAATTTTAACAATACTTGATTTACAAATAACATAACATTTTTTTAAAAAAATTTATTTAACATTTAGTAATTTTAAAATTTTTTTATGAAATTCTCCGTTCTGTCATTTTCACGTAAGCATAATCAGAGGCATCATACCAGAAATAAAAAAGCAAATATTCAACCATATAAGTCCCCACCACTCAAAAAAGAAAAATCAACTGTAAGGACCCGTAATCAATTTGGCCCTATCACCACCAAATTGTGTGTGAAATGATTATTTAATTTTCCGATCATCAACTGAGCTGCTGATCATAATTGTGGACTTCATCACATGCTAACAGTGTTCTTCTTTTTTTTTTTTTTTAATGCAAGGTAATGTAAAACCAATTAACATAACTATATTAATGGTCTAATAACGGAATCAAGCTGAAGATTTGTGCATATATTTGATCCATAAGATTTTTGAAAATAAAAACCTACAAATATATAAATCTTGCATTTGGAATATTGTGTGCTTAGATTAGTGTTTGCCAAACTGAAATTTTCACAAAACTGAAGCTCACCAAATCGAATGTGAATCAAATCTAAATTAAACTGTGTTTTTTTTCCTAATCTAACCTAAGTTATGGGGTTGAGTGAAAAATTAATTGAAACATATATAGTTTTAGCTCCTCAAACCTTGAATCCAAGTAAGTAGTTTATTTACACCTATTATAAATCTCACATCAGAAGTCCCAAATTTAAGAGGCTCTCTCATTTAATACGATACTCCTTCTATCTTTTATTACGAGATATAAGTAATCAAATTGCGTACGTACTTTAAGAAAGTTGTTAAACGTTAAATCGTTAAAATTAGTTAATTTTCCTTTTGACTTCTTCCTGTAACTTTAGTGTTTTCACTTTTCACTGAGAAGCCTGTGTTTATGAAAAGGGTTACTCATAAAGAATTGGCAAGGGGCCAATTGAATTACTTTGACCTAATAGACTAGCTTTTTTTTTTTTTTGGAATGATGAGTTATTCTTTTGGATTTGTGCTCGTAATTGCTCCTAATCAATTTTATTTGTGGATGCATTATTCCTCTCGAATATGTAATATATCAGCAAATGAGATTTTAACCCATAAATTTGAGTGCGTGGTCAATTATTATAAAATGAAGAAAAATATGTAAAAAATTTATATTTGAAAATTTTACAAGTCAGAATGACCTGAAGTTAGTATCGGTGGTTTTTATGCATAAAAAACATATCAAGTCATTTTGATAAGTAAAAAATATATCAAGCCATTATGAGCAGTAAAATTTTGAGGAATAATGAATCATAAGAACATTTGTGTCTATTGCTAGCATGGTCAACTCTAGGATACTTGTTTTGAATTTCCCTCTCTGTTGTGTAGGCAGTAAATTAGGCTGCACATGCATCCCGCATATGCATGAAACATCTCTGCATCGTAAGACATCTTCATGTGCATTATATTTTTTGTCTTCTTCTTTGATCCTTTCACATTAATTAATTAGGAGTATCAATTAACAGGAAGCCACGTAATTACCTAAACAAATGAGCAATACTGACTTTGTAACCAAATCAGACAGATTATTTGGCCAGCATATCAATTCCCTCAATCCTAATAACATCGACTTGAAGAAAGTTTCAAATTACTCTTGTTCTATTTATAAGACAGAGAGAGAAAATATATTTTGATCATATTTATAAGGTATTGCAAAATTTTTTGGCATGAATGTACAAGTTTACCCTTATTTATTATTATATTGACTTCATTTATATAGGGCATAATTAAATTAACAGAGATAAAGTTAAAAAACTTTTAAGTTTTAAATAAGAGTTAATAAAGTTTAAGGTTTTTCTTGATTTGTATGAAATATGTTATAAGTGACTTATAAATAGGACTAAAAGAATACCTCCTAAAGAGAAAGAATTCATTTTCCCATTTTAAGGTCACTTTTGATCTTGCCTGCATTGCAACGCCCCACAACAATTGTTTGTTCTGAAATTTCACCTTTGTTTCTCAAGGAGAGGGTCTCTCCACTTCCATCCCCTTTATTTCCCTTCATCAGATAAAAATTTTAATGAATTTTCTTCTATTTTTATGATTTTGTTTACTTCAAATATTAATAGCTTAAATTTATATAGCTTAAATTTATTTATGTATTTCTTATATAGAATTATAATAATAATTTAATAAAAGATTACTCCCTCTATTTTTTTTTTTACAAAAAGATAATTTTAGGCATCTCTTATTTCTATTTATAAGAGACCCTTATAAACTTTTTTTGGTTAATTACCCCTGTTTATATCATTGCATTTATCATCAAGATAAAATGTTTAGATTGCAAATTCTCTCACTTATGCTTTATTTTCTCATAAATAAGGATACTTTGTAAGATAAATTATTTTTTATATATATTTATCATTTCTAACTAATTTTAAATAGCTTTTTTTATTAACGTGATTTGACTGATTATCACTCATACAACAAACGGATGGAGTGAATCTCAAGTGTTAAAATTTTCACATTGTAGTGACGGAGGAAAATGTAGGGGAAGTAAGTTAAATGATGAAATCCCTCTTCCATTTCAATTGTTTTTTTTTTTTGCCCTTTCGATCTCTCAATTGCTAGGTTTCATCCATAACATAGAAAGGGAATGTACTATAAATATTCAATTAATGCCTCCTCAAACGGTCAACATCTAAATAAATGTGCATTTTACTTGAGGAATAAAATGGACATGCACACTCTTCAGATACCCTCCTTTTGAATGCGTGCCTATTTGGGTTTTATCATAGAGTGTTTAGATAGAAACCAAACTATAGTTTTAGAAGTGTTTTTATGGTTTACAAAGTAAATATATGGATGAATTTACCTCGTTTTGCAGAAAAGTGTTTCTGAAACTATAGTTTTGAGGTTGTCAAACACCTCTTACATTATCATAAATACTTTTCCTTAATCAGATGGGATTTTATGTTGACCCATAAATAAAAAATTTCACCAATATAGACTAAATTATAAAATAAATTGCAGCCAATAGTCTTGTGATCTTGTAATGCGCCGGTCACTTTTATTGGCGCTAAATCGCGGGTTTAATCTCCCATGTAGTCCCTTATATTCAAACAAATTTTAATATGTAAAAGTAATAGTAATAAATATTTTAATGATTCAATCAACCAGGGGGACTTTAATTTCTTCTTCTTTTCTCTCTGCCAACTGACTTTAATTTCTATATGAGGTATGAAATATTTTTTATATATAAATAATGTGGTCAGACATGAGTTTTTATATTTTATATGTTTAGCTTAACCAGCAATCACATTAGTAATGATGTATTAATAATTGGTGATTGGATGATATTCATGAATATTGAATATCATGTTGATGATTATATTAAGGGTTAATCTAATATTTCATCTATCAAGTTTGCTTTGTTTTAATTTTGATCAAGTTTCAAACCATAAGTTTGATCCTTCAATGAATAAAATAGTTCAAATTTTTATTAGATTATAGGACTAATATAACAAATAAAAAGATTTAAATAGTCAAAACCAATGATTTAAAATTTAAGAGACCAAAACTAAAATGAAAACGAACATGATAGAGTAAAGTTTGTATTAACCTTTGTATTAATTAATAATCAATAATCAGGTACTGTAAAATATGAGTGAGGATCATGGTAAAACGAGATGGAGATCACCGTTGAGAAGCAGAGCTTCTTTCATTCACATTTTCTGGCGCTTTTTTAAACGTTTTCACGTTTCCGACTTCACACTACACGGAACCACAGCCACTGTCTGCAAATCCCCTTCCTTGCTTTTCTTCCTTCTCTCTCACCTGAAGAGAAGAGAACCAAACAACTGCAAAGGCAATGGCTGGCTATAGAGCGGAGGACGATTATGATTACCTCTTTAAGGTAGTCCTGATCGGCGATTCGGGAGTGGGCAAGTCCAATCTTCTTTCCAGGTTCACCAAGAATGAGTTCAACCTCGAGTCCAAGTCCACCATTGGGGTTGAGTTCGCTACTCGCTCCTTGAACGTTGATAGTAAAGTCATTAAAGCTCAGATCTGGGACACTGCTGGCCAGGAGAGGTCCTATTTCTTCTTCAACTGCGCCTCTTATTTATCTTTTTTTCCTATTCCGTGTCTCTTTTAGTTAGTTCTTTCTTTGATTTGAGCTGACAAGGATTCGGTGGGGGTGTATCTGAGATTTTGAAGTCGTTTGCTGAAATTGGCCGTAGTTGCTTGCTTCACTTGCCAGAATGATATTGATATGTGGCTCTTGAAGTTTGAACTGATAAAAAAAGCTAGCTGAATACGGTCCTAGGTTTTGCTTCAAAATGAAATTACAGCGACTAAAATTAAAAAAAAAATTGCTCTAGAAGGTTAATTTGATATGAGGATCTATTTTTCTTTGTTCTTAAGTAACTGAAACATTTCCCGGACTTTGTATCTCTTGTTTGTCGTCTTCTTTTTGAAGTTCAAAGGGAAAGATCTTGATATTGTGGATCTTTGTTTGATTTTTTCATTTTCTCCAATTTTCATCGCAAATATCTAGTTGAATAATTTCATTTAGGTTTATAAAAATCCTTGAATTTTATCGAGTTCAAACTACATCACCTCAATAATGTTGGAATTACCAACATGGTTCCATTTATCCCTGACGGGTAATTGTTAGCTTCTCCCGGAATTAACTTATTAAATCGCTAGTGTGATTGGACCCATCGTAAGGCTGTCTTACATTCTTGATTCATCTCTTAGTAATATTCTGAAATTTATGAAGGTATTTCATTTCTTTAATCATTTGTAATTTAAGGTTTCGGCTGCGGTTTTACATATTACATATCACATAACACCTGGTTGGAGCTGATGATAGAAAATCATCATTAGTTTTGGCAGTGTGAATGTATCAAATAGGCAGGGCAACAAACTCAATCATGGGCGTTGTGTTAAAAAGTGAAACCTTGTTCAGTTGAACTCAGTATATCTCTCACTTCAGCATGAAACTATGAATCACTTCGTTCTTGAGCTCAAAACCCTCACATAAGCCTAATGTTGAACTGTCATTCTTCAAATCAATGTCTGGGAGGATTTTGTTGAATTCAGTGGTAGGCTTGATCACCTGATAGTAGAGCTGAAGGGTGCAGAAAACAAAGGCATTAGGAACTCAGCTTTGGGAAATTATAACTACTAATTCAGTGAGTTTGAACACACCATTCCATGTCTTGAGCATGCTACTGAGGAAACATACTATTATCCTCTTGATAAAGGAGTGGGGGATTCTGGTATAATGGGGGCATGTTCATTTTCGCTTAGGGGTGAAGGATTTGTTTTCTTGATCCAATCATTTTCCTTGGGGCTTGGGATTTTCTTTGTAATTCTGTATTCAGCATGGTTTGTGTAGACGCTCAGTGAGTGTAATAAGTTCTGGCTCTGGGAGTTGTTATCGTATGTAGAAAATTTGTCCAGCAAGTGTGATTTGTTTTTTAAAATTTTGTTAGAGGTGTACTAGAGAATTAGTAATCTGACTGAATCCGGCCCTCTTGGAAAAACTGATGATGGTAATAGAAAGACTGAAATCACACAGCTATAGAGGATCTGTGGCTGACATATAAAATGTAGTCTTCCAGGAAAGGAATTGAGTGCCATATTTCTGTTCATAGCACTAGATATTAATACAAACCTTCTAGGATGTATTAATGAAGTCCTGTAATTTGCTAGTGATGTATGGGGGAAGGAGAACGGTCCCTGGATTAGGAACAGGGCAGATGATGAAATATATTTGGAGATGTCTTAGCAAATTCTAATATGATTCTCTATGGTTGTTTATGGGTAAGGTGGTTTTTATTTTTCCCCTCCCACAAACTACGGTTATTGATTCAACAGATTATGATTTATGGCTAGAAAATCTAGACTAGTTGCTGAAAGAGAAAATTGTTTGAGCTTAAATAATAATGAAATATGCAATTTTAATCTCATGTACGCAATTTTAATCACTGTTGAAATCTTATGTACGCAATTTTAATCACTGTTGAAATCTTATGTACGCAATTTTAATCCCATTGCCATGCCTTATTATTATTTTCGAATGTGCAACTGGGGGACGTGTGATTGCTGTCCTATTCAGGGCTGGCCAATACTGTTTGATTTGACCTCGATTTGATCATCCTCTCTTGTGACCACCGTAGTGGACATCATTTCGCAGTACTGCTTACCAATTCATCTTTGTTATGGGTTATTTTTGTGTGACTAATATTGGCAAGTAGCTCAAGTATATATTTTACTCTCTCACCAGATATATATATATATATATATATGTATATATTAAAAAAATTTATGGTTTTGTTCCTTGTAGGTACCGAGCTATCACTAGTGCATACTATCGTGGGGCTGTTGGCGCACTTATCGTGTATGATGTCACGCGCCATGCAACATTCGAGAATGTTGACAGATGGCTGAAAGAACTGCGAAACCACACGGATTCCAACATTGTTGTGATGCTTGTTGCGAACAAATCCGATCTTCGTCACCTTGTAGCTGTTTCGACTGAAGATGGGAAATCTTATGCCGAGAGGGAATCATTGTACTTCATGGAAACCTCAGCTCTTGAGTCCACCAATGTGGAGAATGCATTTGCTGAAGTTCTGACTCAAATCTACCGAATTGTTAGCAAGAAGGCGGTTGAGACTGCAGAAAATGGAACGGCTACTGTGCCAGCCAGGGGAGAAAAAATAGATCTTAAAAATGATGTATCTGCCTTGAAGAAAGTTGGTTGCTGCTCAAGCTAGCCTGGGAAGACAGAATCCTGTTTTCCTGGTTGCTGTGGGTTCTGTTGTACTGTACGTGTAGTATTCTGATATATAAAGATGAAGAAGCTTGGTGGGTTAAACAATGTTTCATGCTCAATAGCTGCTGGGGAAGCAGGTTGATCATCATTGTTTTTTTATTGCTAGTTATTAGTTATTAATTTACTAATATTATCATTGTTTCTGAGATGCTAACAGTAGCAAAATTTCAAGCATGGAATGAATTGAATATAGTGTTTCATCAAAGTGGTTCTCCACTTTCCGTGGTTGAGCTCGGCAGGACCATGTCCTTTCTCTTTAAATTGGTGCATACCGTACATTATGATCGGATAATAGTAGCAAAAATTGACAAAAAGTTTCCGTTTGGAAGTTTGTTGGCTGAAAAAATCTAAATTTGAGTACCAGTATTTTCTGGGTATGAAATCCTATGGAATTTTAAAACGGCAATTTTTTTACTGACTTTCCCTGAATATATATGCCTCCCTTGACCAGTTCCCTTGTGGAATTATACTTTAAAAATTGGGGACAATTGCAATAGAGTTTCATAGAAAGGAAATAATTATAAAAAAGTTCCAATGACAAGTAGGAGTTATCATTTCTTATTCTGGAATTTGTCATTCTTAATTGCTCAATTATTATTAAGACTTTATAACAATTATGTTCTTCTTTTTGTTTCAGATTTAATTGCAATTCTTCCTAAAACTTATAGTCAACTGCTTGATAACTGATCAACGAGTTATACCCTTTGTTTATACTTTTCCGGTCCTTAATATAAGACCCATTTAACTAATTTGATTAAATTAAAGAAGTTAGGTAAATTAGTTAATTATAAGAAATGTGACACATTTTTCTTAAAACACTATAATCATCTTTCTTAATACCTTTTCTCATTCTTCTACTTGATTATGGTTGAGGGAGTATCTATATGGGTAATTTAGAGAAATTAATAAATATGAGAAATGGGTTTTATATTTAAGACCAAAACCAACTCAAGGGTCCTATATTAAGGACCGGAGGAGTAATTTGTAATTTGTATCAGCTCAAAAAAAAATTGTAATTTGTAAATAATGTGATTAATTATAAATTATATATATAATTATATTGATGTTAATGGTATTAACGTGACTTTAACGAGCACTGGATGTTATGTTCAGCAAACAAAAAATTACCGACATTTAACATTTAGTTAGGCCAAAAAAAAGAGTTTAACATTTAGCGAACCTTCTTGGGAGTTGAATTTTTGTTTTTTTTTTCAAAAAACACAACAGCACAAAGTAAAGGGGAAAAAACAAATATTTCTTCGTAACGTAAATCAATTGATCCAAAAGAAATTATTAATTTAATAATCACATTTATAAATAGTTGATTGGCGATATTTAACTATTTTCTTTTGTATGATATATTGGTTAATTTCAATGTAAAATACAAACCAACCAATCAAAAATGCTGACAGAAATATGCCAAAATATGGCGCGAGCCAGTACCGACCCAAAATAACAAAACCGCATTTCCGTTGCCGGGAATCGAACCCGGGTCTCTCGGGTGAGAGCCGAGTATCCTAACCGACTAGACTACAACGGATTGATGGCTCTTGCATCTGTCATTTACATTTAGAGTTTGCATGAAGAAAGCGAGGGAAACATCCCGCCTGTATTTCAATTTTCCTCTAGCATGTCGCTCCGCTCAAACCCCATTTCAGTCACTTCCACTCAGAAGGTTGAAGGTGGCACAAAACCCTAGTCGAAGATGAGGGAGGAAGAAATTGAGAAGCTTCGAGGTGTTGTGAGGGACTGCGTAAGCAAGCATCTCTACTCTTCTGCCATCTTTTTCGCAGACAAAGTCGCCGCCTTTACAAATGATCCCGCCGATATCTACATGCAAGCTCAGGCCCTCTTCCTCGGCCGCCATTACCGTCGTGCATTTCATCTCCTCAATGCCTCTAAGATAGTTCTCCGTGATCTCCGCTTCCGCTACCTCGCTGCCAAGTGTCTCGTAAGTCCCTCTATTTCAAATGCTGGTATCAATTCAGTTGTATTTGTGTGGTTAGCCGAGTGACTATCATCTTCTTCTTTGTGTTTCCAATGATCGAGATTAACTACGACTGGTTTTTGTAAATCCAAATATTTCGTAGTGAGGGTGCAAACATTTTTTAGCAGCTCATTGTCATAAACCAATAAAACAAGGTTGGAACTGGAGGGGAGCTTTCTATGCTATGAATTACGGACACGGCCGCCGTGATACATCAAGCACAACCGGCATTATATTATAGTTCTAAAAACTTTCTACTTGTGACATGCTTCTGGATAAAAAATACAACTGACATTATTCTAACGTTATAGTTATCTGATACCAAGATTACCTCTGGTTTTTACTTTAAAGACATTTTAACAGCTTCCTGGGTATTAAGAAATTTAATTGAAGTTAGTTAATACTGTTAAATTTATCCAAATTTTTTTAGAAGTTTCCAAGTTCCAATTTTACCATTAAAGTTCATTAAATGATTGTTTTCCTATCTTCAACTCTCTCCACTTAATTGGTGTAGGGGTTATGATTTGAAAGACAAGGGAAGAGAAAGTCAAAGCAACAGAGGGCTTCAAGGGAAAAAAATAATAAATGCTTGAGAAAAATTGGAGACGTTCTTATAATAGAACCAAGCTGCTCTTTTTCTTTTTTTAAAACCAAAATATGCTATATCGGAAGAAGTTAAATCATATGTAGAATGTTCAAATATGGAGATAAAAACATGCCACATTGTTCTCAGCTGATAATGAATTGTGAATAGTGTGGCTTTCAACAAGGTTCTGCTGTCTTTCTCTCTACCTCTTGTTCCTTTCATCTTTTTCTCTTTTTTTTTTTTTTGAGGTTTTATCCATGCATGAGCTATGACTGGCATGTGTCTAAGACACGTTTGGAGTCCAAGCTTAATTTTTTGAGACATGTTTGATACGTTTTGACAATCTGTTATGGCTGTATAGGTGTTTGCCTCATGAGATGCCTGAAATTAGAGTCTCCAGCTGTACAGCTAGTAGGTCTCATTCCTTCACATTCCTCTCTTCACTGGAATACTTATTGATAATTAAAATTGTTACAAGCTATAAAGTCCCAACATTTAGTCTTTCTACGTGATGTTAAGGCTGGCGATAGAGATGCAATCAATGTCAGTAACCATCATATCGCTTTATCATGGTGCAATTGACTGATAAATTCATTTGAGATTAATAATTTATTCGATTGGAAGAAGTAATTAGTTGATGCAATGTGGTGAGGAAAGCAGAATATGGCTGCTTCAAGCTGGAGACAATTAGACTTTATATGTTTATCCTGCTCATGGGCAGGAAAGTCTTAGAGCTAGCAACAATAGTGGGAGGAATAAACTCTTGCTTTCAACATCTGTGAAGTGTTTTTATATTGAGCAGAATAGTGAATCTTGAGTCTCTTCCAAATAAATTTCCTGGTCATGATAGCATATTACCTAGTTGTCAGTTTTCATGATTGTTTGATGCTATAATGATTTTCACTAATGCAGTGTGAGAATAGATATTTATGATTTACCATATCACAAGGTAATGCAATTTTGATCAGTTGGAATGGCTTGAGATTTCCACACGTATTTGGATAATACTTTCGGGATTTGGGATCAGTCAGTTGTAGCCATTACTTCTTGATTGTTGATTGTTAAACTTTCGTCCTGCATTACGCTTGCTACAATTTTTCCTTCATTAGATGAATCCCTGGTGCTCTGTTTTGCGGCAGAAAGTTCAGGTAAATTGGGACAGAAATTTGTGGCTGTGGCATTTGGAAATTTTTTGTTACATAGCTGAGTTGCCATTTAGGAAATTGGTTGCAGTCTGTTTTTTTGTATATGATGCATTACTCTTTAATATTTAATACTGTGATGCAACTGTAGCTATGTTGTTTTGTGGTTATAGTATTATACATCTTTATAGCTTTTGACATATATTACAAATTGCTTATGTTGTATTAACTTGCTTTCTTGAACAGGAGGAGCTCAAGGAATGGGATCAATGCCTCTTAATGCTGGGTGAGGCTAAAGTGGATGAACAAGGCAATGTTTCAGACACAAAGGATTCTAATGTCATGTACTTGGATAAAGATGGTGAAGACCGTGAGATCAATGTAATGTTCTCCCTGTGGGTTACTTTTACCGTGTAAATTGTAATGTTTGGCTATGAGTTTTTGCCTTTTATGCATGCAAATTCAAGGATCTTGTGACAATTCTGGTCAATAATGAGCAGGAACTTAAATTTTTCTCTTAAACCAATGTCAAGCGAAACTTAGAATGAACCAGGAAGCAATAAGGAAGTGTAACTTTATAATTAGGTGATTTCAGTAGCATAATATCAATATATATTCCTGTCAGAATTTGATACTGATATCATAAGTAGAAAGAGACACAAAGTGGAAAATAATATTCTAGTATAACAGGATTGCTCTTGAGTCATGTTCCAAGAACTTAGCTGGGATACTTGTAAGACTAAAGTTTATGATTTGCAGTTTGGCCTTAAGGGTTAGAGACCAAGACCCCGGGTTAGAGACCAGGACCCCATCTGATGTAGAATCAGCAGGTTATAGGAGGAAAAATAGAGAGAGAAAAGGAGGAGGAAAGATGAAACAGTAATATTTTTGTCAATTCTCAAAACTGAAAGAAAAGTCTGACATGTCTTCTATTTCTTGTTGGTAGCTGTAGACATATATGATTGGAATATTATATTTATTCATTATGAGGAGAGGGATATATGTACAAGAGGGAGCCTTTGCTTTAATGGCTCATAAATACAGAATATTATCTGATCCCTATGATAAAGTTGTGATATCTCTAATAATAGAATGAATCTTCTATAATCCTAACAGTAGCATTCTTTCAGTCATAAAAAATTTACTAATATGCTGTTTTGGAAGCCTTCAAACTTAATTTTGAGGTTATTTTTTCTTCTCAAACGTACACTGAGATACGTCACTGTTGAATTTTTGGTATGCTTTGGAAGTTTTGAACCAGAAGGACACTTATTAATGGGTCGCCAGGTTATTTACATGATATTTGTGTTTAAGTTATAAGTTTTAAATTGCTTTAACAGCCGTCCTCTGGTAGTGTCTTCTAACTATATACATAAAAATTTGTATGCCGGCAAACCTCCGGCTAATCTATTTCCAGTCCTGACATCCTTGGTGATTAGAAATATTGATTAGCAATTGGGCTAACGCATCCTATCTGTATAATTAAATCAATGAATCAACTTTTCTCATATTTGGTGCCCAAGTATTTATCCAGAAAGGACTTAAGAACAATACTGTATACTTCCACACATGCTTGCCAGTTACTGTTTAGAAATTCTGTATTTTTTTCCTTCTATTTGATATGGTAGCATGATATAGCTAGGGTTAAAGTTTGCGAATATTTCATCATGTTTGGTCCGGCTTTTTCTTTGTTTTGCTAGTTTGCTTGGTTCTATGCATTTTTTCTGTGCTGTAACAGATATCTTCTGCAATATGTTTCTTAAGAGGCAAAGCACATGAAGCTCTAGAAAACCGTGCCCAGGCTCGATTGTGGTGGGTTCCTTTGAGGACTTGTGATTAACTAAGCCTTTTTTAACCTAAGAAACAGATTTTTTAAAATTTTTTTTGCTTGCATGAACAATAGTTGAATTATGATATGTTAGAATTCAATGAAAATAATTAATATGGAAAGCTCCCTTAATATGCTGTTTTCTTTGGTTCAAGGTACAAAGCTGCCATAAAAGCTGACCCTTTATGCTATGAGGTATGTCTCAATCTTTTCCTTGCTTTTCTATAGTTGATGGAAGTGTATATTGTGCAGTAAATCTACCTCGACCCAGCTGTTAAAAATTCATATTTCTTTAATCTGAAGTTGAAGTACCAGTAAATAAATTCAATATTTTGCCCTTTCAGCAGAGTTTTTGATGGCTTGAATTATTTCCTCTTCATGCAATTTTTCAAGTTTCATATTTACCATGTCTCCTTGCTCTCAAGCGTCTCAACATATATGCATCAGTGCCCTAATTTTCTGCTGGCCGTTTGGTGATTATGTCAGGCCCTGGAATGTCTTATTGAAAATCACATGCTCACGTGTGAGGAGGGTAAAAGCTCTTAACTAATCCATCAGAATCTTCGTTCATTGCAATTGCTGTTTAGATGGGTGAATTTATATATTATCTAATTACAAATTAATTCTTACACTTCTTCCATGTTTTGCTCCTTCCTTTTCTCCATGCTGAACATCAGAAGCAAATTTGATTTCATCATTGCAATTTGGTAGTGAAGATGGATGGCTTTCATCATTCTATTCATGCTTGATAAAGAAGGTAACATTTAGTGCTATCCGAGGCTCTGTTCAATTTGGATGTTTTGTATTGTATGTCAGTGGATATTAAGGGGAAAATTGTTTTACTTGTCTTTTCTGCAAAACAATGTATCGTGTCGATTGATTATGATGGTGACTTTGTGCATGCATACTGATCAAGCCTTTTCTCTTCTCTTCTTTGTTATGCAGTATGAGAAGGAAAATGTTGTGGAAGCCAAGTTTCGAGACCTTGAGAACACAAGCTGCAAAATTGACCAATCTAATCCTTCCTTCTTGCGTACGCTGAAAACCAACACTGACCTATTAGCCTGCAAAGCTGAATACTACAATCAGTGCGGTGAATATCAGAAATGTTTTGAGTTAACATCTGTGTAAGTTTGGGACCTGAGTTGGAGAGTGCAGACTGGAGTGCAATACAGTTGTGCTTTTTATCTAAATATCCGCTGCTTCTTTTGTCCTTCTCTGCCTCTCTTTCCTAACTGAGTTTTATCTCTGTTACAGTCTGCTTGAGAAGGATCCTTTCCATAACAAGACTACCTTAGTACATCTGGCAGCTGCAATGGAGCTTGGACATTCAAATGAGCTCTATCTGATGGCATGCAATCTTGTGAAGGATTATCCTCAAAAGTAAATTTTCTTGTACTACTTATCATTTGTTGTCTTCTGTATCATTTGTTATAAGAACCAGTTATCTTTTTTTTGTCTTTCAAATTGCTCTTAATATGCATAGACTCTACTGCATGTTGAGGGAGATGTTTCATATTGAAATTCTATTCAATTTTGATAACCTTAGAAGACAACTAGAAGGCCTAGGCATTTTAACCAGATATATGATCTAATTGTACAAGATATCGTTGCCTACTTAGATGACCCTTGGGACCCAAACAGAATATCTAAATTCTTGATAGGCTTGAATATTGGGTTGAATTATTTACTGTATTGTGATGATTCTTGATGTTATTTTAGGGCCTTATCTTGGTTTGCGGTTGGTTGCTATTACTATTGTATCAAGAAGTATGACCAGTCCCGTCGATATTTCAGGTACACATAGCTTGTCATCATGTTAGATGTGGCTCATCCTGAAACATCTAACACTACCTCTTTTGTAATCCGTCATCATTTTTGGCTTTTGAATTATTTCAATAATATGAATAATTGACTTCTTTGCTAACTAAAAATATGATAGTTGTAATATAGTCACTTTGAGTATCTCTTTGAATTTCAATGCAGTTGGCATTTTGTTTTATAATTTGTCGAGTGTTATGCCTTGGTAGGGGCTGTATATCCTTGCTGTGAAATATGATTATATGTTATTATTAACCCTAGTGTAGTAGTGTACATAAATGCATGTATGATAAGTATTTCACTCATCAACCAAAATTTATGCTGTGACATGTAAAAATTGGAGACATGGATCAATTATTTATCTCTGAGCATGACTTAGATTTTTGCATCCTCTACCATACAGCAAGGCAACAAGTCTAGATGGAACATTTGCACCAGCCTGGATAGGCTATGGGAATGCTTATGCTGCTAAAGAAGAGGGTGATCAAGCTATGTCGGCTTACCGAACTGCAGCTCGTTTATTTCCTGGGTAGTGTATCAACTTTTGCAATTAGAACATTTTGATTCAGATATGGTTGAGTGGTTTCTTGTGCCCGTATCTTCAAAACCATTTCAAGTTTTAGATATGTTTGAGTAGGGGTGCTGAGAAGTTTTATTTAGCCTTTAGTCCTTTGCATGATTCTTTGTTTTTACCTCTATTGTTTTAAAGACTTCTTCAAGATGAAACGAGACTTATAATTTAATTAAATTTCTTTGAAATTTGCTTCTATTGAGTCATTGCGTCCACCAAATAACAAGCCACTACATTTTTTATTTCCTAACTTATGATTTATATGTGAGATTCTCACTTGCATGTATTGTGTCCATGAGTGCTTAATTTTCTAATTACGTATGAAATCCTCTTATTATGCATGAATTGTTCTTTTACAGGTTAAATCTTGATATTCTCTTATTCCAGGTGCCACTTGCCGACTCTTTACATTGGAATGGAATGCATGCGAACTCACAGCTATAAGCTTGCTGAGCAGGTGCCTACCACTAAACATACTGTCAACTATAGTCTGTCTAGATCCGGGTTAAGTTTGGGGAACTGGAAATTGATGGGGAGCTAATAGAGAAAGAAAGGGAAAGAAGTAAATCTCTGTGAGAATATAAGCTGGAATAGCACTCTCCTTCAGTGAACTGTGCAAATCATGCATTATTCATATATTCTTCGTACTTCTGTGCTCATGGTAATGAGCATATGTTTCTCTTCAGTTCTTTTTGCAGGCTAAGGCGATTTGCCCCTCAGATCCACTTGTATTTAACGAACTTGGAGTTGTTGCCTACCATATGCAAGAGTAAGGATATTTTCTCAGCTTTACAATCACAAGTCGCCAAAATTAAATCTATTTTCTTTCAATAAACCATATTATATTACAATCTCCTCTTTGAATTCCTCCCCTCTCCTTGTGTTTTGCAATTCATGTGATCCTTAGATGTTATGTAGGTAACCAAAATTTGGTTGTGGTAAGACTAACTAGTATGGTAACCTTGACCAAGGTTTATTCAGCGTACCATTCACTTGAAATAAATTTCTGCAATATATAAGTGCTGAGCACTCAAAGTTTTGGTTAAACAGATGGAGTTTGAACTATGGAAATCCCAGTGGCAATTCATTTGTATTTTGAGGAGTGCGTGACTGTGTTTATTTTTCATAGTTTGGAAGATAACTTAAGCTCACATACCTAATAAGTTTGTGCTTGCAAAGTTTGGCAGCTGAGATCTGCATGTAAGAATTCTTGATATTCTTGATTTAAATTGTTATATGGATCTTGGCACACATGATTTCTTCATACATGACTCTGATGTTCCAATTATCTATGCTGACATAGGGTTACCCAATACTAGTAAAGTCAGTATTTCCATTTTAAGTTTCATGCACTGGGTGATTCTGACATGCATAATTGTTATCCATGCTTCAGGTATAATAAAGCAGTATGGTGGTTTGAGAAAACATTAGCCCTCATCCCATCCTCTTTAAGTGAAATGTGGGAACCAACTGTAGTTAATCTTGCCCATGCCTACAGGAAATTGAAGTAAGTTGGTAAATTTAGCTCTGTGGTCATTTTACTCTTTTTTTATTCATAAGTTTCTGAGTGCTTGATAGTTTTTAGCGTACAACTCATATCCTCTTGTGAATTTCAAATCCTATCGTTCTTATAATCTTCACTATTGAAGGATTAACTTAGGTGACTGAGTGTCTGAACTGAGGTGGCAATCAATCCAGCCAGCTTATTTCAAGATTTTTCTTATGCCCATAATTTTTCTGTATCTTAATAGGCAGTTTGTTTTTGCTTAACCTTGTCCTCTATTTCAGTAGGTCTGGATTTCTTGGTCATGCCATGCATTTAAAATTTGAGGAAAGTTGTTTTATCTTCTCATCAGATACTATCAACTGTGTTGATTGGGGTTCAGCATTCTTGATCCTGATTTTGCTTAAATCACTGTCTCAGGATGTATGATGAAGCGATTTCGTACTACGAGAAAGCACTTGCATTATCAACAAGAAGCTTGAGTACGTATGCTGGTTTAGCATATACGTACCACTTGCAGGTATCTAAGTCTCTTGCCCTTTTTTCTTTTTTCGCTATAGTATATTGTGTAGGCGGAAACAAGCTTTGCTGCATGAACCAATCAAGCTCATTAGGGTGTAAAGAGTCTGTGTTGGCCTGGCAATTGGATTACTCTTGACTTGATGAATTTTTGAAACAATGTTGATTAAAACATGAATTGAGTGAAACTTCTGATAGGGGTTTTTCCCTATATGTAGTTAGCGAGATAATGAACTATTGAAATTCTTAATGCATTGAACAATAGAAGTGATTAGTTATTGGATATTTCATGTACACTAAGGAGTTGATGAGTCGGTGATCACTGTGTTATAGAAAATGTCTGAAAAGCTAGACCCTCTGTTATTTAGTGTCATGGTATTGGTAAAAAGCTTTCGCTCTATTGTCGCATGACTCGCGTCCTCAACACTTTCAATTTTCTTGATTCTTAAAATATATTTTTCACCATTCTCTTTCCAAATATTTTCTCCTAATATTCTGTTAATAGGCTGTTTGCGGTTGTAATTCTTGCAGGATGACTTCACTACAGCTATTACTTACTATCACAAGGTAAGTGTCTGTATATATATCGTAAAATCTATCAGTAATATGCATATTATATTCATGAGAAATCTATGATTGGTTTGCTGTATCGTGAGTTAATATAAAGCATTTTCATGTGGCAAATGTTATTCTCAATATCGTGCTAGTAATTTCCGGCCAGCGTGGTTGGTTTATGGTATTTATTTGCGAGTAATAAGAATAGAAATTGGGAGTTGGAATTTTACAGTCATTAATATTTGAGTGATCAGTTCACTTGGAAATGGAGTTGCCTATTGTCACATGATCTATTTTTACACTTACCACATATAATATATTTAGGGAGAAAAAGTCAGGGAAACACAAAGTTATTTTCACCCTTACAAGGGCTTCAAGTCTGGGAATCAAATCCTCATTGTCTGTTTCTTGGGAACGTAGGAACTGTTTCTATTTTTTTTAACATGGTAGACTGATCTTGCACTAGATCATTGCTAATGTTCATGGCATGATCATTTGTTGGATTGCTCAACTGCCTTATGAATTATCATTGTTGGTTTGAAAATCAGGCTTTATGGCTCAAACCAGATGACCAGTTCTGCACTGAAATGTTAAGTTGGGCTCTAATGGACGAAAGCCGATGTGGTGTGCCGACTATCCCTTAGTTAAATTCTGGTGAACTGTGATTGAGTTTCTAAGGGGGTAGCTATATTCACCTCGTTACGTGTGTGTGTGTGTGTGTGTGTGTGTGTGAACCATGCATTAATGTCAAGTTATCGCATGGCAATTCTTATATCTTGTATTGTAAGTTATAGTGGAGGCAATATTATTTTTGTTGATATTTTGCAATATGTAATTGATCGATAGTTTTTCTCCTTGTATTGTTCTTAATCTCTGCTGTCGATCTTGTCTTTCCCTCGGACTGTTGTGGATATTTCTGAATGTTTCCTGGGAATAGAAAACTCTAATGGGGAGATAAAATCTATACTCTTGACATGTACTTAGATTAAGCGTACAGCATACTGCAAAATATGCAGTTTGATTACAGAAAGAACAAGATAAACAAGAGATTCGACAATGGTTACTGAAGAGTACTGAAATCCTGATCATTCTTTGACAGGGCATGAAATGCAAACCTCCGAGTTTTAGAGTTTGGACCGTCAGTGTCTAGTATGAATAATTGTTCATCCAATGTATAATTCAGGGGAAATCTTAAAAGAAAAGAAAGAAAGAAGAAGAGTCTGAAATTACTGAATCTCAAATCAGATTTGGTCTTACATGTTAATTGGTCCTTTTATAATTATGTATTGTTTTCACATTATCTCGAGTTGATAAAAAAAAAAAAAAAGGAAAGTGAATTCATGAAAAGAAGTTTTCTAATGATAAAATGAACTTATGTCACTTCAGACAGATTAAATAAAGGTTATATAATCGTCATAAAAATAAGGAATCTAAAAACAAAACACTGGGTCAGGTTGCTACTATCCATACCAGATGTCTGCTTTAACCCAGCATTAGCCGAACGCGGACTGAGGGTTAGCTAGACCTTCAGACATGGATGTTAAGGAGCCATGTTGGAGGAGCTTTTCCTTAACAAAAACAAAAAGGATGCCATATTAAATTACGGAGCTTGACTACAACAACCACCGGCCGCTTTTGGGATCATTTTCCCATCTTCCCACTTTTACTTGTGATTTAAATAATATCATTTCATCTTTTTAAGGGTGACACCATATTATCTTTATTTTAAAATGTGTTTATTAAAATAAAAACTATTAAAAATATAGCTTTGACAATCCGAATTTGGTACTACTCATTTTTCAACGACTACTCAAACTAAAGCCTTCGTCTTCAGGCACTTTGTTTCGGCCTGCCAGAGTTCAATATTTTTCACTGATGGAGAGAACTGTGCTTAGGACTTCATCATAATCTCTCTGTATTAGACCTCAAAACAAACTATTATCTTATCAGCTGGACTGCTGGAGTAACAACTAGTAATTTCGTTAGCATCTTTGATGTTCTAAATTCTCTCCAGTAAATGCAGTTCATTCAATCTAGTGATTCAAGGACAAAACCAATCATAAATAGACAAATTTCAAAGCAAGCACTCCCGACCCACCGCTAAATGCCTATTCATAACTAATTTGATCTATTTATCGTCAGTATACCAGTTCTATCTGCAAATTTGCCATGATTCAGTCCTTCTTTCCCCTGTGAATATCGACAAGATATCTATTCAAACGTTGGCCAAATGTCTGCGTTGAAAATGACTCAGTGACATGCCTCCTAGCTCTCTGCCCATTCGCTCTGCCTCCTGAGGATCTTGAATGAGTTTGAACATTGCTTGAGAAAACTCCGGTGGAGTAGGATCACAAAGGAACCCTGTCAAACCATGCTTGATTGACTCGACAGGTCCACCACTATTGCATGCAATAACGGGTTTATAAGCTGCCATTGCCTCCAAAGGAACAATGCCAAAGTGCTCATCCTGCATTAAAGAGCTCCATGTAAGACTCTCTTCAGCTAATTCCAACTAGAATTTTGGTAAATAGAAGGTTTTGCGAACCTTTGGAGTGTAAAGGACACAAAGGCATTCTGAAAGAAGAGCATTCCTTTCAGCTGTTGAGCAAGATGTGATAAACCTTGTTCGACTTGATACCCCTTCCCTTTCTGCTAAGTCTTTTAGCTCTTCCAAGTACTCTACATTCTCTTTCAATCGTTTGTCAAAGCCACCTGGAATAAGTGATGACAATATATTTCATGCTTATCCATTGATCACAGCTGACAGATGTTAAAGAATGAAGTGAATTCATATGCATACACACGTGCATGCAATAGGATGCTTTTTAAGAAACTTGAATGGTTTATATTCAGCACTCATACTGTCAAGAAATACGTTACAATTATCCATATACTAATCAAATTTCTTTCTAACTCTATGCACAAAAATGCTAGTAGTACATAACTTTCTTGGTCTCCACTATTTCCATGCTCAACCAATCTTCCCCTTCCCAATTTAAACTTGTTATTTGGAACTCCATATCGCATAATATGGTGCTGATATGCCAAACCACTAGGAAGTTGGGAAATAAAATAATGCATCTAACATCACTAAAATGTTTATCAACCTATCCCTGTGAATGAGAAAACAAAAGTAGAAGATGCTCACCAACAACCGTCAAGGAAGCATTAAATGCATCCTGATGAAGAGCATCTCCTTTGAGGGCGTGGAGCTGAGCAAAAGCTGATATTGCTAATTCTATGTTCTTCTTCCTTTCAAAGCGGTTATGGAAAGAAAATTGAACCTACACAGCGAGAGAAGAGAAAGAATACACGCATCAGCCCACAGAACTTGTAATGGAGTCATACAATACATGCAGAATTTTAAGAAGCTTGCTACATAGAGGAAAGCAGCCAAAAAACAGCTACAAACGCGTTATTTACTTAAAGGAATTGGGTTCATTGAACTGATCCACATTGACTGCAGGGTACAAAACAGCTGGTCGAATCCCTCGAGCATCCAGATGCTTGAAAGTATTTGCAAAAGTAGATGCAGTGTGAATTGCTGTTAACAAGTATCAGATCAGCCATTCCTACAATTTGGTCAAACTTGATCATATGAGTGATTCGCTTTATATGCAGGCAGGAATTTCACGAGAGAAAAAACAGAGCCTTAATGAAGTCCAACCAGTTGTTATTTCTATATAGTCTATTGGCTCCTATACATCCTCCTGAGGAAAGTCGGTGTGTTGAGCCAGCAATAAGTCTGGAAAATGACAATAGAATACAACTATCGAGAAAATTCAACAAATTAAACAATCCTCATTATGTCCAAGTGTAAATTTAATATATCATATTGTAACTACCTTTGCGGACTTCTTAAGTTTCAGGACTGGAATAACTACAGAGACCTGATCAGCCAGTATAACATCAAATGATGGCCACAAGAAAAGAACACAAAGAGCAACAAAGAGACACCTCAGGTACGCGCATAAGGCATGAAGACGGTAGAAAATATGCCGAGGAATAAAAGAACCGTACACAGTAACTGGAAAGGTACCTGAGCATTTATGTGTCAAACTAATTGTTAAAACACCATTAGGGGTTTCAACTAAACGATTCTGATCAAATAATAATTAAAATATAAAGAATAGAAGTGCTACACAGGCACAAAGAGTGAGAGAGATATACCAGCGGTAGTCTCCTCAAAGCATCTATTTTATCATGATGAGCAGTAAAAATATGAACATTATGGCCATGGGATGCGAGCTCAACAGCAGCATCCACTATTAATCTTTCAGCTCCACCTACAAGGCATGCAAGATATCCGTAACAGCACTAAAAATAGGTAGTCATCACAACATCTAGTTTAAAGCAGAAAGTAGTGAAATCTAAAAGGATGGAAATAGTATAATGCTACCAATCTTGTGCGTAATGTGTTTAAAACGCCTAAAGATTTTAAAACTAGAAAATGTGTTTGCGATGTGTTTGTGGGCGCAGAAGACCAAGAACCGATTGACCCTCTTGTTAAAAGATTCTGCTTTCAAAGAGCTCATACATTTCAGGGGGAAGAAGAAATAGATGTCCTAAAAGAGTTGAATACAAAACATGTCAGGCTAATCCAATGTATTGGCATTCCAGTGAGCACCCTCATCATCATATTATCATTCGGTGATCACATAATCGACTTTGCAGTCACCAGAGATGGTGCTCAACTGTCCCTTGTTACTAATTACCAAAATAAATCTCAACCTCCAATCCGATACCTTTCAGAGGCATAGAAATTTGCATATAATTATTACCTATGCCAAGATCTGGGTGGATTACAGCGATGTTCATCTTCGAGCTTTTTTCTTTTGCCATCAAAGCGACCAAGCCAATAAATTTACAGTGAACACATTCGTTGGAGATTCCGTAGAGCCTGTTTCTACAGCCAACGAATAATTTATAGTCAAGTCAGCGATGACCCGACAGCGTTCGCTCTGCAGAAGGAGAAGAGAAAGATCGGAAACCGATTCTTCTGAGTTGAGTTCTGAACTTCAGAATTCTGATGCCTGAAAAGGTTAAACGTCGTCGTTTCGTCCTCCCAAAGGCAAATAGAACGTACGCATACAATAGTAATTAATACCACATCTGATTTTTAATATATAAATTTATTTAACTTTTATTTTGATCCTAAATATAAGATCTTAATTCATTTTATTTCTCATATTTATGTATTTTTCTAAGATAATCCTTCTAACAATGGTAATTCTAGCCAATACACTTGATTAGCAAGGATATTTTAGAAAAGACAATACATTTATTATAAATAATTAACTTAACTTATTTCTTTAATCTTTTTAAATAGTCAACTAGCTCTTATAATTAGATCAGAGATAGTAATTATTTCTGCTAAATATCTATGGTCCTATGGTATTTTCCAATCTAACATCCATGGGTTTACTTAATTCCATATAACAGTAATTATTTTCTGCTAAATATATATGGTATTCTCTAATCTCACATAACTGGGTTGTTTAATCCCATTAACATGCAATTTTGCATGAGCACTCTTTTAATAAATTTTTTCTAATTTCAATTCTAATTTTTACTTCTTATTTTCAAATATTTCATGCTAAACGGGATACAGGAGTATTAATCTTTCCACTTGCATCTTATCCATTTTACTTCCTCTGCAAATACGAAATAAACATAAATAACATATAATATTTTATAAAAATCCTG